ATAAGGACGAAAATGCAAAAGAAATAAAACGTAAGGACGTTTTACCCAATAAATGTCAAATGTATGGACATTTTGTGCTATTGAGCTAAGTTCAAAAAGTTTGAAACGTAGAGACATTTTATCCTTAAGACTTTTAATAAGGCCTTTGGACTCACTTACACTTTTTAAAAGTTTGGGAGTATAATTACAATTTATTATTTTTTTATTTTCCTTTTTTGTTTTATTTATATAGAATGGTATATTAGTCATTTTACACTAAAAACAGTGAAAATGACGTTTTCCACAATGAAACGTTGAAATAAGGGAGAAAATGCAAAAAAAATGAAACATATGGACGTTTTGCACACTACATACGTATGGACGTTTTGTGCGATTAAGCCTTCCTGAAAATCAAGCATTCATGTGGTACACGTGTTTTCATTCCAAACATGATTATTCATTTCAACAGTGACGATCGAACAAAAAGAAAATCTACAGAGAACTAGTTGGAGTAAATAACTTCGATTCTCATCCCCAAAATCGGTTAATTAAAACTCGTCTGGAGATTGATTTTACAAATTGAAAATTGTCGACATTGTGTATCAGAATATCTAAAATAAAGATAAATCTACATAAATAATCTAGTTACATGTATATCCTCGTTTAGATCCCGACTTACCGAATTTACATTTAACACAATTTCACATCATTTTTCATATCTCACACATGCAATCTAACCATTATAACACTTCTATGTCACCAGGTTGTCAACAAAGGTGTAAAAAAAAAGTTGTACAAATAGCTTAATTACTACAGAGAACTCGCTTGAGCAAATAATTTTGATTCTCACAGTCGGAATCTGGTTAATAAAAAATCGATGGACGATTGAGGTCACAAATTGAATTGTTGGCATCGTATATTAGAAGATCAAACAAAGAGAGAATCTACAAAGAACTCATCGGAGCAACTAACTTCAATTTTCATCATCGAAATCTGGTTAATTGAAACTTTCAAAATATTGAAATCACAAATTGGAAGTTGTCGGCATTGTGTATCAGAATTTTTTAAGGCAACGATAACAACTGAGGTCGAAAAAATCAATGGCATGTGGCTAGTTCTCTTGAATTTATGACCTGTGACCTATGACATGTGACATGTAAACTGTTACATGTGATATTGGACCTATGACAAGTTCTATAGTATTTAAAACTTATGGATATTGATCAATTACATATGCAATATAACATGTGACCTGTGAACCGTTACTTGTAACAATGAATTGTGATTTGTGACCTATTATCAATGCACAAAGACATGTGACATATCATCCGTGACTAGTTGATTTTGATATGTGGTATGTTAACATTGATTTGGGACCTATACAATATGACCTAGGGATGCTTCTAAAGAGAATCGAGCTGAATCCAAATTTTCGAGTATTTAGTAAGTAGAATCACGGGGTCTTCAATTCAACTTCATTCCATTCAATTTGATTCGGTTCCATTTGATTCCCGAGTCATGTACCATAATTAAATTTTGTAATATTTATAAAAAAAAAACTACATTAATTTAACTAATGACATATTCAATCTTAACTCTTATAAAATATGTTGTCCGATTTAAAATTATACAAATAACAAGTTGTATAATAAGATCATTCACCAATATACACAAATTACCAAAAAAAAAAATAGTAATACTAAAATATCAGTGATTTCATCTCATTGATTCATTTGCTTCAGGCCTTCAAATCAACATAAAAACTGAAATATTTTTAAATATTGCTAGTACTTACCAACTATTTAATAGTTAGCAAATTTATTTATTAAAAAATTAAAAAATTTTGATTTATTCAATATAAAAATTTAGGGAGATTCAGTTTTATTCGATTATTTGGTTCTTGGTCTAGAGCCGACTTGAACCCGTCGGTTCACGATTTAAATACCCATTCGATTATTTTACTTAAAAACAACCATTCGATTCAATTCGGGTCCAATTTAGTACTAAGAGTTTTGTCAAGTCTTAATATGATGTATGACCTGTAGAGTGTGACATATGCCGTGTAAACATGATCTGTAACCAGTTTTTTTTTATTTGTGACCTGTGAACATTTGCCCGTGACTTATGCATAATGACATGTGACCATCACCGGCACCACCACCAGATATCAACATAGGTCATTTTGCATAGGACACAAGCAAAACCACACCACCACCGTCAACACTACTACCATTACAACTACCACCTTAGCACCACCACCATCGTCGCCGCCAACACCATTACAACCTGCACCACCACCAACCGCAAACACCACTACTATATCGCACATCACACCACCATTGTACTGCACAGCGCAATACCACCTCACCATTATCTAAACTCGTGCAAACCCACGACTATACGTTTATCTGAACCCACTAACACACATGCCACTGTCTGCTTTGTGTAGCTGCAATCATCACCCAAATCTTTGCAAAGAGCACAAAAAATTCATTTACCAGCATAACGACAACTCCATAGCATCCATTTTGAAGAAATCAAACTCAAGAAGAAGAAGAAGAGATCTGGTGGTACCAAGGCAGTTGCGCACGACGTCGCTGCTACGCTTAGTAGCGATGTGCGCCGCTTAGCACCATCGCCACTGTTGCCCAACACGGTGTAGTGCTCTTGTGCGCAATTTTCTGCATCAAATTGTTATGACAATATCTCCAACGCAGACAAAAACAAAGGGCGCATGACTATAGTGTTGTAGCCATAAGGCACACGAGAGTGAGAGATTAGAGAGATGGTGTGTATAATTATTTTGATTGATTATTAATATCGCATTTTATTTAATAAATATTAAATAATTTATTATAACTTGAAATATGATAGATAAAACTTAATATCTTATTTATGAAATCGAATCTTAATATCTTATTTATATATGCTATTATCGAAATAAATAACTTTCTCTATATTAAATTTTTCCAATTAAAAGAATAGTCATTTTAAAAAGTTATTTACAAATTAATATTGATTATATGTATATTATTGAAGTGAGTCAAGCATATACGTAAAATAAATCCAACTTCGTAGTATCCTTGATATTCTTGATCGATTATTCCAACTTTAGGATTGATTAGAATGTGTTGATATAGAAAACTAATGCTTGCTTCGTATAGTGCTCTCTTAAAGGTGACGTATACAATCATGTATTTTTTAATGTGTTTTGGTCAAAATTTTCAATTGTTTGAAATAATTAGTTGTCAACTTCTTTTTCATTTTTTTTTTGGGGGAGGAGGGGGGGGGGGGGGGGTGAGTTGGTTTTTGCACTTGGGGTCCTCAAGGTT